ATTGTCTTTGTTGGGTTTTTCTGTTGCACGTAAAGCCGGGCATTCTTGATTGCGCGCTGATCGCTGCGCTTCCCTTTGTCTGTAGCGCTCGAGGGAAGCTGGCAGTGATACAATGTATCCGTTTGCAGCCAGAGTTAAGCACCGCCACTTGTCAGCAATTAGTTCACAGTTTGAACTTCCCTTTTCTGCTGTTAGCCCTGGGGTGATGAAATTGACTAGGTGAAACTGAGCCGTGCCGGCTGAATCTGACAGAAGTAAAATTTATTTATTTATTTATTTGTCTAATTTATATAGCCACCCCTCTCACAAAACAAGCAACTGTGGGCAGCGTACAAGCTAAAACAATTAATAAATACCTAAAACTATTATCATTATTATTTAAAAATATTAAAAACTATAAAAAGCAGAGCTAAAACAGAGAACAGTAGACAAAAGGATGTTAATAATAATGGAGCCACCTCACTAGTTCACCCATCCCCTGGGTTCTCCAGGTCTGCTGGCACAGCCAGGTCTGAGGGACCTTCGGAAGCTCAGAAGTGATGAGGCCAACCTCACCTCAAGGGGGAGAAGATTCCACAAGGCAGGCACCATAGCAGAAAAGGCCCACTGCCTAGGGCTCCCCAAATGTAGCTCCCTAGACAACAGAACCCATAACATGCCCTCTCTGCTGGATTTGGTGGGATGGGCAGATGAAATCAGGGAGAGGTGTCCCTCAAATAACCCAGTCCCATGCAAGTCATGGTCATGTGATATCTCGCTTAACAACCACTGTGACTTGCTTAACAACTGAATGGGAAGTGATGTTATAAGTCCGTCGTGGTGACATGATTTCCCGCTTAGCAACAGAATTGGTAGTTCCAATTGTGGTCACTAAGTGAGGACTATTGGTACAGTTTACAATGCTGCAATTCAATATATCAGATGCTCATAGAAGAATAATGCTGTTTAATCTGCATTAGCTCCAGATCATTTCTGAGCACAATTCAAAATATTATCATCCCTAAAGCACTATCTTCTTTGGGCCAAGCCTCAGTTCATGTCCTGCCTCCAGCCACTACTGGAAATGCAGTTGGCATTATGTCTTTTCAGTAGAGCAGCTGTGAAAATTCTACTGAAGTCCTCATATTACTAGGGGAATCTGAATGGATGGGACGTGAAAATGATAAAAGTAAATATTAGTAATCAATTCCTCTTAATCTGATTGTTTCAGTGACTAGTTTTTAAGATATGAGCAGGAACTAGTCGCCAAATTTTCATACTGCCCATGACAGATATGGCTTATATAGACACTAATTTGCAGGAAAATTCCAATACTACCTTTCTGTCTTGCTGATAAATTTCCAGAGACTGATCTTGGGTATAAATACTCTAACTTTTTCCTTTTTTTCTGTCTGCCCAAAATTTCACATCTAGGATATGGCTCCTTTGTTTTCTGTTCAGGAAAAAAGAAAGAAAGTGAAACCCTTAATGAATCAGAATCTGGAACAAGGAATGCAAGAGAAAATTATAACGATGGTAGTAAGATTGTGTCTGTTGCTTTTCATAGAATACAATAGAATTTTACTTTGCATAATAATCTCTCCTTTCATAAGTATGCTTTAAAGTTTGTTTTGAAATGCTTACTTTTTATTTTCATTTGTTAGCTGTATTGGAGGGTTCTAAGCATCTTCTAAAAGGAAAGTGTGCTTCTTAATGATCCAAAATGCAGGGCCACTACCCTCTGAACAACCTTCCCTAAAAAGGAAAGATTGGAGAGAGACCAGGTTTCAAAATAATTGGGTCAAGTAATGGCTTCTTCTTGAGAAGGGGGACTAATCCCTGTCTTGTTCAAGGCTGATATACCACTCTGTTTCCCAAGAATCTATTAACCACTGTTCCTAGGCAATCTCATCACCTCCATGGGTTCCAATTCACAGATGTCACAGAGAACCTTTTCTACTTCAAAATCAACATATTCAGAGTGATCCCCCATAACCCCACAAGACATTGCCTTGGCATCTCTATTGGACTTGCCCAGCCAATGTCCAGCTCCAAATGAATGTAATGAATTTTGTCCTGTAGATGTTTTACGAATTCATCACAACATCCTATCTTCTGTTCCATCCTTCCCTAAAAGGGTCCAAGTCATTTTAGAGAAGGCTACTGGATAGCAGTCTGCACATGTAAAGTACATAAGTTTTGTCGCTCTAAATTGTCACTGTGTAAGGTGGAATCTGAGCTTGTACCCATATTTGGTCATATTCATCCTTTATTGTTCACCAGCATTGCTACAGAAACTTTATCTTCAAGAACTCCTCAGTATACTGAGGCACCTTCCCACCCCCAATTGCTGTACATGCAGTCCTTGTTTAGTGACTGTGTCATAGAGCGGCCACAGTTATGCCAATGATGAAAAAGTAACTTTGCAACCAGTCCTCACATTTACGACCTTTGCATGTCTGTAAAGCAAAGCAAAGCAAAGCTGAAGTAAGATCATAAGCCCAGTTGTGGTTTCACTTAGCGACTACTCCTCTTAATGACCAAGTTGCTGATCTCAATTGTGGTAGCTAAACAAGGACTACCTGTATAAATAAAGGCTACTCAACTAGGAGATTAACCTAACTGCCCATCAAGTCCTTGGGAAACTCTCAAGCATCCTCTGGAAACAGCAAATCCATAAGACATCTGAGGCAGATTAACTGAATGGATCCCTGTATAAGTTGGTGATATCAGTCAGCTCTATGGAAAGCAGAGAATGATCTAACCATGACAGGGACTGACATTAATGTCCCTCACCTTTGGATCTCATCTGCTCTAAGATAAAAACCAGATGTAATATGTGGCTTCACATCACACTGTGATAGCCCATGAACTCACTACCTACCTCTCTCCCACCATAAGTAAGTTCAAGTCTCCCAGCACGTGAAAACCCTCATTAATCCAGTGGTGAGGTTCACCATCTCAAAACAGTGATGTAGTATCAGCTTCCCTAGGTAAACCAGTCCAGAAATCAACCCTCCTGGAAGACTAGGACTACTTTTATTTATATTAGCTATAATAACAGAATCTTGCAAATCTGCTTGTGCTGTACCTCCCTTCCTTCTTATACTCCAGTGATCAGTGAGGTATCTGCCTGAGTTGCTTCTGAATATTACCTTGCTTCCCAGGACTTAAAGAGTATATCAGCCCTCTTTGCCTAGGTAACAGTTCTTCCATATTTCTGACAAGGTCATCTCCCTTATTCTCTACATCAACAGCATCAATCCCAACATGTTGCTTAAGCCCAACCTCACAAGTAGGTTTTCTGCAGATATGTGCCTCTGTTAACCAGAAGAGCCTTTTACGGATCAATACTTTTCAAAGTATGCACAGTCAATAATTTAAACGATTGTTGTTGTTTCTAAATTCTCTTTTCTAATTGGTGTGTATATATTCCTGATCAATGACATTGGTTGTGTTTGATGAACTGCTACATAAAGATAATGTAGTGATTAATTTAATAAGAATGATTAGGGTTGTTTCAAATGGTTTCCTTTTTTTTTTTTTTCCTATTTGACAGAGATTCCTGAGTTGCCAGGAGAAAAAAGAAACTCTCTTAATGAATCAGGGCTTGAACTGGAGAGTATGGAAAAAAGGAAGAGAGAAGGTGAAGGTGAGGAATGTTGCATTACTGTCCAGTAAAACATGTGATTCTCTGTCCCTTGAATAGCAAACTTGGGTAATGAGCACCAATAGAAAAGGGAACAAAAGCCACAAAAGCTGTTCTCATGATAGGATGAATGCCAAAGTATGTGGAAAAAAGCAAAACAGAGTGGAAACCATAAATACCAGCATGAAATTGCTTGTGCCACAGAATATTGTTGATTGTAAGAGAAAAGTGAGAGGAGGTGAGAGAGAGGAGAGTAAATCACCTGTTTTAATACCTTACAGGTGATGATAATATTCTGCCTGGAATACCAAATCTGAGAAGTTCTATTGGGAGTGAGGTAGCAAAATGTTGTACCAGATCCAAAGCAAGGTTGGGAACTTTGTGCGGCCATTTAAATAGCATGGAAAAGCCATGTGTGGCTGTAGGGGCTGGTTGGCTGGTTTCTGCAGAACACATGGCATCTTCAGTTACGATAAGATCCTTTCTGAGGAGATAAGGTCTTCCAGGTTTTGGAGAAAGAAGTATAGAGATTTGGGAGCTAAGTTATTTTAATGTTGAATGTTGAATTCCCATAAGTCTTAGTCTTTCTTCTTTTTTTTCAGCAGGTTAGATAACATGAAAATAATTGGCATTCTGTCCAATTGATCCTGTACTTATAACAGTGCAGTATGATGTGGCTGCAGAAATACAATATTGGGCTGCATTGAGAGAAATATCATTTTCAAATTATGGAAAAAATTGTTCCATTCTATTCTGCTTTGGTCAGACCCCATCTTGGATCCAGTTCTGGGTACTGCACTTTAAGAAGGAACAAAAGAAACTGGAACAAGTTCAGAAAAAGGGAATGAAGTTTATTAGGGGACTAGCAATAAATACAATGAAGAGAAATGTTCATTGAACTGTTTAACCTTGAGAAGAGAAGTTTTAGAGGGGATAAGATAACAGTCTTCATATACCTAAAAGATGTCATACAGAAGAGGGAGATCCAACCTAGGAATAAGGAGGAATTTCCTGGCAGTGAGAACTATTAAGCAGCAGAACAGCTTGCCTTCTGGAGTTGTGGGTGCTCCATCACTGGAGATTTTTGGACAACCATTTGTCCGAGATGGTATGAGGGGGGCAGGGGGTTGGACTAGAAGACCTCCAAGGTCCCTTCCAACCCTATGTTTCTGTGAGAAGAAGGTTGAGATCTGTTCTCTCTCATTCTAGAGTCCAGGACACAGAAAAATATATTTAAGTTATTAGAAGGCAAATTTCAACTGAACATTAGAAAAAAAAATCCTAACAGCAAGAGAAGGTCAGCAGTGCAACCAAATACCACCACCCCACCCCACCCCACCCCCTGCTAGTACAGCAAGATCCAGGCTGCAAAACTCCAGTCATTTGTTTAATGCCAACTATTGGTGGTCTGGCACTTTGCAGCCCAGATCTGGTAGCCATATCTGAATATTTATACTGCTGCATATTTTGAGTTCCCACAAGTCCACTTAAACTTTTTCTTCCACGTATATGATGCACTTTTGGATACATCATAGTGAGCACTTGGAGGAAGAGTTCACTGTTATATATGAT